GAATATTGGAGTTTGCGTGTGGAAGATGAGCGAAGACTGAAGGTATTTGACCACCGCCGCCTGAGGAATATCCTTCCGGCAAAGTAAACTGACTTAGTCTCAAATGAGACAGTTCGCACTCTGCGATAGTATCGCGAGGATATCTCAGGCCATCCAAGAAAGACGACTGAGGTGGTATGGGCACGCAGTCTATGGTGAGAGACTTTCGAAGCCTCTACTACACCCTCTCCTCCCTCCCTCACTCTGATGGTAAGGCAATACCAAGACAACTGGAAGTGGCGCAGACGCAGTTGCTGTCTACGCGACATACGAAGAGTCTAGAAGAACCAAAGCTCTGACCGAAAGGGAGGATCACAGTGTTTTTGAAAGTGCCCAGCTTTCTTTATATTATGCATACGTGTGTACTTTTTGTCAAATAGGCTTTAAAGGTTCATCGCTTGTTTCTAATATTTAAATTTCTCTTGATGAAAGGAGACCGTAGCATTGAAGGACTAGCAGTAGATAGTATATCGTGGAAGCAGAGCAGTTTCGGGGGTTAAAAGAACATTTTACAGTAGTCAGAAACAACAATGCCGTAGTTATTTTGTGCCCTCGAGAACCTAATCTTACCAGGTATTTTCTATTGCTATTGAGGAGGGCAAAACAGTACGTGGGCAAAATGAAATTCTCGGAAAGGATAATAGGGTAATGACATCCAGTGTATTGGAATAAAATATATGCTAGTCGTCGTTGTAGGCTAGGAATCGGGTAGGAATAATTTTAAGGTTCCAAATACGAGAGCTCGATGGACTTCGAAACTGTGTTTGAAGTGGTCATGATGACGGCCCAAAACCGAAACAATTCAGAGTGAGTGACAGGATAGTTAGCTGGGATTCGGTAAAGTTCTTATCTAACGACGGTGGTTGCAACCAATTAAAAAGCAAATTCAGTTGAGTTTGAACTGGAGATGTTGACAAGTCCAACTGCCTTTAGTGTTCGAGAATGAAAAGATAAACAAATAACGACTGCGAAGAATAAAGTCAAAGATCGCAGTACATTAGTCACAGTGGATTGTTACTGTCATTAAAGGAAAGTGGTGATGAGGACAGATCCCGGTGGGGACTGGGGTTCGACTTTTTGAATCTGCGATAGTGTCAATTCCACAAACAACTAGAACGAGACATAAGACGCTAATCGATGTATACCGTAGGCGAAAAGGGTGACTGACAGTCTTCTCGCAGAGCATTATATGAATAGCAATATTGTAAGTCGGACTACTGGGGCCAAGTTTTTTTTTGGTTAATAAAGGCAGGGCTAACTATATAGCGATTTGATCAGGTTGAAAATTCTTCTCTAAGCATGACAAACTACAGGTAGTACATATTCTTATAGCCTAAGACAACATGGGGAAAAATGTATGAAGCATAGAATTAAGTTTAAACGTTCGTGTGAAAGCACAGTCGATTATAGAATGAGCATGCAACTTACAAACTTCCGTATTTCCCGAACCAATGTAAAGAAGGCGTCTTCTACTCCTTGACGAGTTTTGGCGGAAGTTTCAATATACGGAATGCCATACTCTCTCGCAACAGATTGGGCGTCTTTAGCATCAACGGTCCGAACTTGGAGGTCTACTTTGTTCCCAATTACTAAGAAAAAAATAGAGAAACCGTGCAAGACTTACAAACCATTGGGACTTCGTCTGCATCTTTGACGCGTTTAATTTGCTCACGATATTGTCCTATTTCTTCGAAACTTTTTGCATTGTTTACGGCAAAAACGCACAGAAATCCCTCTCCCGTTCGCATGTACTGGTCTCGCATCGCGCTAAGGCGATAAAATGGGGAATTTTGGTATACCTGTATTCTTCCTGACCAGCTGTGTCGAGGATATCCAACATGCAAGTTTCCCCATCTATGTGGACTTGTTTTCGGTATGGATCCTCTGTAGGGATAAATTGGACCAGGTAAGGAAAACTTGCCTATCGTAGGGATATATTCGTCAACGAAGCTAAAATGAACTAGAGGCTTAAAGGCGACTTACAGATTCTGTATAAGCTGAATCGTTAGCGCGGTTTTTCCGACGGCACCCGCTGGATCGGAAAAGTAGAGTTAACATCTGAAAAAGTCCAGTACCTCCAACAACTACTAGCGTATACTCATTCATCCGCTCAAAAAGAAAAATAGAGTATTTCGAGACAGACCTAACTTCCAATCACTTTGGAAATAAGGCTGTCTATTCCTGGGTGGTCTACGCGAAAAGATTAAGTTCATGGTCGTTGTGCCGTTAAACAAATTTATATTATTCCGTTTACGGTTATTTTT